CAAGATTATCAGCATTTATATACGTCCAGAAGGATATGACGAACATCCAACACGGAACCTGTACAAACTAGTACATGGAACGAGACTGATGGAATGGGTGTCATGAGAAGATGGGAGAATAAACGCAACAAGCCCAAGAGGCTGCAGGGTTTTCTGGAGACTTGGACTAAACGTCCAGCTCCCAAGGGACCAAACAAAAAGCGTTATGGTTTAAGTAAATATGAAATAATCATTGAGACAAACGCGTGCGAGTGTGATTATTGATAATGACCAAACTGAAACCATTAAGACTCTAGCTATCTGCGATAGTGGCAGCAAAAGGAAAAAGCAGCAGCATTTATCAATACAGGATAGTGTTAGTAATAGTACTAGAGGCGATACTGACACTACGGGCAGATAAAAGTGACTTTTTTGAAATTGAGGTGGACACCAGTACCAATGGCAAAAACAAAAATGATAAATTAGCCAAATCTATACCATGTTTTCAAAAACATAATGAATGTGTTTTCCTAAAAATGAAAAATTCTGGGACTTCTGGGTTGAAACGACACTTAAAAGTATAGCATAGGATGTTATTTGACGAAGAGTGTTCTCAAAAGGTGCCTGATCGAAGCAAGTTTTAATGTTCTGCGTCAAGTGGAAGTGGAAGTAATAGTATTTTAGATTGGATGAACAGAAGTCAAAGTGAAGACAATGTTAGTTAAGATTTAATAGAATAGTGCTAAATTTGATATTTAAAATAAAATCTATAGTAGGTAAATATCATTTACCTATTCCTAGTTACGTTGAAATATATTATCTTTTTCACAAATAAATACGTTTTAGAGTTTTCATTGTTAGTCAAGATATTTCAAGATTTGTTGTTTGACAAGAAATCTTGATATTGACATAAAATTTCTTATCTTGTCTTGAAATCTGAAATTATTTGTTGTCTTGAAATCACGACAAGATCTTGGAATTTTCAAGAACTTGGCGACCCCTACTGATTTCAGACTTATTAAAAGTTACATTTCAGTATGTCGTCCTCCACGTTCAATACAAATTATGTTCCGTGTACTGATATCTGTAACTGCATTTTTAATAAATCGGGGATTTATATATGCACAGCACTCGCGAATGGTAGTATCCAGATGTTGTATGTCAGTAAATGGTCTACTTCGGTATACTTTTTGTTTCTGGTAACCCACAAGAAAAAGTCTAAAGGCGTCAAGTCGGGTGATCTAGGCGGCCAATAATGTTCCCAGTTATGTCCAATAACTTTGCCTCTGAAAATTTATTGGAGGGACTGTTTTACAGCAACCGTGTGATGTATTGGTGGACCATCAAGCTGATACCATAGGTCGTATTTGATATTTAAAGGCATATTATCTAAAACAACCTCATTATTTAAAAGGTTGTGATAACCGACGGATGATAAATTTTCCCTAAAGAAAAATGGCCCAATTGTTTGGTCGTTAAGTATCCCACACCATACATTAGTTTAAAAGGAATACTGATCACCACATTCAACTGTGAATTTTGAGAACAATTTTGAGAACAAACCGTTCCATTTGAAGAGAGCGTTGCCTCATCTGTCCATGAAATTTTATGCGGAAACTTTACATTTTCTTCTCTCTCTCCTTGAAACCAGAATGAAAACCCCAAACGGACATCGAAATCTCGTTCTTTTTTTGGCATATGGATATAAAATTGCCGTAGACACAACTTTTTCAAGTAACTTTTTGTTAAATTCGATCTAGAAATGCACTTTTTCAATTATTTTCAAAAAAAAAGTTGAATTTGACAAACACTAAACGTCAGTGGGTCGCAGTTGGCCGCATCATTTTGAGTTAAATTTCAAGCACAAACAAGTGCCGAAGTTAAACTTAATTTAAACTTAATTGAAACTTTTCGAAAAAAAAGGTTCCCATATGGTGCGCACTTTAATGGTGACACTGTATATGGACGTCCCGTTTTGAGTTAAAAAAAATGGTCAGTTCATGTATTAGCTACATTAATGTGAAGTTTCATATAAATCCGTTCAGTCGTTTAGACGTGAAAGAGCCACAAACATACATACATACATCCATCCTCATAAACTTTCACATTTATATTAATTTTTTTTATACGAAAGTGTAAACATTTTTCAATTGTGTAAATTTTGCTCTGTAAAAGGGAAACGGTTGGGCAATAAACGCTATTATTATTATCATTATCATATTCAATATAGTTGTATCACATAGATGACTAGGAAATGATGTATTTTCAAATACATAAACATTATTTTCTTGACATTATCGCAAAATTTGAACCTAGCAAAATAATTTTTGATATCTGAAAACATAAAAAATAATTCGTTATAGAATTTCTTACGTCCAAAGATATTATATGCAGTACTTTTACGAGCAAGTGAACTTACTGAACAATTAAGAGTATTTCAACTTCAGTGACGTTTTTATATACATATTCATGTACCCTAAAGAAGGCGAGAATAACTGCCGAAACGTTTGCACTGAAAATTGTGAAAACAGAACCGTGTTTTTGAGTCCACATGCTCGTGAAAATACCACCCATAAAAGAGAATATTTACCTGGCCGGTAACTGTAAATAAAATGACTAGAATCAGCCTCAGCGGCCATTTCGCTTTATACGCTCTGTGTGACCACAGCCTGTGAGCCCCAGCAGTTATACCGAAGCCTGTGATATATACTGTAAGGAATGCTGAAACAAAAATAAACAAATAAATAATTGACCAACAAGTAACACAGATCTACAAAAAAAAAAATTGTGTTGCCCTGGATATTTTTGCAAATTTTTATGTTTTCGAGTGCCTAAATCACGAATATATTTATGAAAGTACTGTATGTGCTCTATTTTTTACGATTTTTACGTATCTTGTATTTTTAATAATAATCGGTTTGTTAGTAAAAAAAAATTATTTTCTCAGTCATGATTAGGCTTCTGCGCAACTTCTTTGTGCGTACAAACATCACGTGGTCCCCACTTCTCGGGCTCCTTGCTCTGCAAAACAGCTGAGAACTCAGTTATTTGATAATATTGAAGTACTAACACGGAAATCTGGATAAGTTGTTATATGTTAACATTTTGTTTCAATTGTTGAGTGTCCGTTCTAATATATTTATCTTGTCTTTTTAAACATGAGTTTGTCACGAAGGAAGTGCAAATATAGTAGTTTCGCATGCCCTCAGAAACAATGATGTTGCCAAATTCACAGAAATCGACTCAGTCTACCAGTGGAAGTGAATGGGAGGGTGAAACATCTACGCCACATATTAAATAATACGTGATCTAAATTTATCAAAACAAGGATCAGAACTGTTAGCTTCAAAATTGAAAGAAAAAAAATTATTGGCACCGACAGTTACAATTACAACGTACAGAACGCGAGAAAGTGAGTTATTACAATTTTTTGATGAAAATGAAGGATTGGTATACTGTAACTGGACATGGACATGGGTTTGAAAGAATACAAACCTACTGAGTGGCGTCTTTTTATTGATAGCTGTAAAAGAAGTTTAAAATGCGTTTAAATTTGCAACAATTCCAATTGCCCATTCTGCAAAACTCAAAGAAGAATATGAAAATGTCAAATTAGTTTTAGCAAAAATCAATTACTCGGAGCATCAATGGTCGATCTGTGTGGATTTAAAAATGGTTAATTTTTTACTTGGTGAACAAAGTGATTACACGAAATACCCTTGCTTCATTTGTATGTGGGACAGTAGAGCAAATCAACGTCAATGGGAACAAGATGTTTGGCCTGAAAGAAATTCTTTAACTGTCGGTAAAGCTAATGTAATAAGCGAGCCGGTATACGGATATATCCGCTTTTGAAAGCTTTGATGTTAACATTACTATTTGTTTGAAATATAACTAAATAATTTTAATGAATAAAAAGTTGTGATTTGTCAAGTTTGTCATGTCTGACATTTAAAAAAAACGCCAACAAAATCAGGACAAGCAATAAAACTAGTCAAAGAATATTATCTGGCTCCGCATCTTCTCTTCTTGGACCCTTTCTTGAAGTCCCGCAAAAGCAAAGGTAACGTGGATCAAGAGTCTGCCGACGCATCATTAGCTGAAGAGGGATCAGAAGCTAATGAGTCTGAAGATAACTCCAATGTTGACGTGCTCTCACCCGATAACATTCTATCCAGTCGTTCCTCGTGCTCACCTGTACCATCTCCCAGTACGTTTGTCGATGATCAACCGTTAGCAATGAGAGCACCTGAAACACCATTACATAAAGAATACGACTTTAGAAAAAAAAGACGTTAGCAGCCTCAACCTCTATCAATGAGGTCAACCACCAAGCTTATCAGTACTTTGAAAAAAAGCAAAAATTGCTCGAGATTCAAAATAGCACGAAAACCAACGCCCCAATCGATCCCCCTGACCCGGACCTGGCGTTTTTACAAAGTGTTCATCGGGTCAACACTATGTACCATTTAGGGAGAAACGTTGCATCGTGGACATTGTGGTTTTTTTGGTGGTGTTCTCGGGCCTAAACGTTTCTTCCCCTGGACATGAAAACTCCAATCATCATTATTCAGATGATATAAACGTTCATTCCCTCGAAACGAATATAAGATCTAAGGTTCAGTCTGAAGTAGGTTTAATGACACCATTAACCCAAATCCGACAAATAATGGACATAAACGTTTTTTCCCTGGCCCCGTCAATGGTAATATAAATGAAGTAAGGTAAGACAAATGGAAACAGCAGAATTGAAATCATAACCAAATCACGAAAGTCAAGTCCTTCGGTTATATTTCTTCATACTGAAATACAACGGTTCCAACAAGCAAGGGAAATAATTTAGCGTCAACTTCAACAACTGATTTTGAAACCAAAACTCTCATTCTAAATTGTTTCTGCCTTGCACCAGGCAATATTCTCGTAGGCATGCGAAATTAGGTATAACACAGAGAAATTTCAAATCCCTGTTTGTATTTTCACGCTCGAAAACCCACATCTGTAAAACACTTCATTATCTAAACCACACATTTCAAAATAAATGACAGGAAACATGCTCTACCGTTCTTTTCCAGCAATTAGATTTAATTTCTATACAAATATTCATTGTGTTCATCTGATTTTAAGCATTTTTAGGTTACCGCTTCAGTAGGCAAAACAAACAGAGGGTACTTTGTAAAGTTTTCTCTCTTTCATAACAACGCATGTGCTTAGAAAACATCGATGAAAATAATGACTTTCTAATTAGGTACTCACTCTATCAATTTACCTAAAACATCTACAACTTTTATGTACCTACAGCTTATGTACAGCTTCAATTATATTATCTAAGGCATTTATAGGGTGAATCAACAAGATTTCCTTGGTCCATTGCTATCATTGCTGTCCATTGCTCGGTCCATTCCAACTGCTCAATTTAATTTGCAATCATATCGTGCAAAGCTTATTGTTAAATCATCTAAAAATAGAATTTCTCAAAGTTGATGCTCGACTGTATTGCCAAACATGCGCCAAACTAACTGACTGTTATAAGGTAACAAGTATAGCTGAGGCACCAGTTAATCTAATAATAACACTGATGATCTTCAAACACGACTTAACTTCTGACGGAAGCACCAAACTCTTACGAAGGTCCGAAATAGATGAACACTTCAATCTAGCAGGCTACTATTATAATCTGCATGCAGTCATTGTTCACTGTGGTTCTGGCGTTGAATCCGGTTATTATTACGCATTGGTCAAAGAGGAAACGGACTGGTTTAAGTTTGAGGATGGTCGTGTCACGAAGTGTTCTGGCGATGTATTGAATTTTTTGGAGCCTCTGGAGACACCCTACATTTTATTTTATGAAATTGAAGACATTGGCAGATAAAGATCTTCAGATAATGTGGTGCTGCAGGTTTTTCCGGGTTTTCCTGCAGCTGAAAAAGCAAATGTGCCACTAGAATCAATGAAGTCGCCCCGGAGCGTCAATTAATTTTTGTTTCTTGTTTTATAATTTCATGATTTGTATTTTATTAAAAGACAAAAATGTTTATTGAAAATACTTTCTTTCAAAATTATTTTCTCGCATAGTGGGTGACTCAGTCGAGCGTGATCAACCAAAATTATATTTTTTTAATTAGAACACCTGGTATATAAATACGTCATTCGATTCCATATTTCTTTAGCTTTCTAAGGAAATTTTGTTTTTGAATTTCCATTGCGGCATTGCCACAGTGGAGTCCTATTGTGAGGAAATCGACGAAATGTACCGAACATTGCGTCAGCAGCTGCGGTCTGGTTTTTGAACGTCGAAGTTATGCCTCACCCACTGGCTAACAGACTACCATCTTTTCGAGAACTTTGATGAATTTATCACCGGTAGAACCTTCGCCAATCAGGACCAGACAAAAAACAGCCTCCGTCGACTTCAACGAATCCTGAGCACATCATTTTCATGCTGACGGACTTGTGTTACGTGACGGAATCAATCTTTTTGTCAGCTACTGCAGATGAAATATTTGATACTACGAGTAACATTCAACGACGGTCTACAAGCTCGGATTTCGTTCTCTCTAATAGTAACTCAAGATCGAGCCGATTCTTACTGAAATGGATAAATATGCCACACGTGTTAATAATATCACTATAGTAGAGCACTATATGAGAAATAGCAAGTGTTCGTATTTACAATACAATAGTTGGGTTGTATTGAAAAAGGAATTTGACTAATATCTATACAAAATTTCGGAGTTGCTTTGTGTGACAGTAGAATTTGATAGAATGGATGCCTAGGCATCACTTTTTTCTATGAGAAATTCTCTTGGAATTCAACTGGGCTATTTGATGTCAATTTGGATTCCAATATGATGTTGGAATGGTATAAGCAGCTTCTCAGAAACTCAAACTACTAGTTCAACTAGAATGTTCAACTTTCAATGACTTATAGAGTTCAAATTAGCCATCCATTGGAAAACTGCTCACATTATAGCAATGGGAGCTTTCCGTCTGATGGCGGGTTCCGTCTGAGGGGGTTGAGCAAACCGGCCATCAATTGCTTGCTTCCACGTAGCCCCGCTGGATATGGGAATGACAGAAACACTTGTGGTTCTGTCATTCCCTAACTGAGAGGCAACCCAACGATGGCTCAATCCTAAGATGTGTGTATCCGTGCCGAGAGGATGAATGACAATGAGCCTATCAGCTGTCTCTACGGAACCTTCGAGATACCGGGCGCCCTCTCGTCGCCCTCTCGCCTTGTCACGGTAATGCGGGGCTCTGCCGTGATTGACCTTCTTTTCCTAGCTACTCGTGGGACTTTTATGGACAGAGTAAACTTGAAAATTCTTAATGAAGAAACGAGAATTGAAACTTTCTATGTTTTTTACCACTTTTATTTGTTACTAACGTTACTGCAGTTTCGTCCTATACGGACATTTTCAGACTTATACAATGAACTTATAAAATAAACAGTAACGTTAGTTACAAATAAAAGTGGTGAAAAACATGGAAAGTTACATTTCTCTTTTCTTCATTATGATTTCTTACCACGTAGTAACGGCTACATCCATCAATTTATTGAAAATTCTTTCTAACGCTGAATCTATAAAGGAGATGGATGTCGAGCTTATAACTCCAACTGACCTCTCTGTGAATTTAGATCAGGAGCGAGTCTACAAAGGAGATGGATGTCGAGTTTACGACTCCAACTGACCTCCCTGTAAATGTAGATCAGGAGCGAG